TGACAATATGCTGCTAAAGCAGTACTTATGGGTATATTTATAGCACTGCATGCTTGTGTTAGAATAGAAGAAAGGTCTCAAATCAATGAACTCAACTTCTACCTTGAGAAACTAGAAAGTAAATAGCAATTTAAATTCAAAAGAAAGGAAATAAAGATGAGAGCAGAAAGCAATGAAATATAAAACAGAAAAAAATATATAAAAAAAGAAAATAACTAAAGTCTGGTTTTTGGAGAAGATCAATAAAATTGATAATCCTTAAGCCAGACTGATCAGATAAAAAAGAGTGTAGACAAAATGACCAACATCAGGAATGAGAGAGTGACAACATTATAGATACTACAGACATTAAAAGGATAATAAGAGAATATTATAAACAATATTTTGTCAATTTAACAATCCAAATGAAATGGATAGACTTATTTAAAGATATGAACTATACTACCAAAGCTCCTTTAAGAAGAAATAGGTAACCTAAGTAGCACTATATTTATTAAAGTAATTGAATTTCTGGTTAAAAACCTTCCCACAGTAAAAACTCCAGACCCAGATGGCTTTATTGGTGAATTCAACCAAACATTTCAGAATAAAAAATACTATTTCTATGTAAACTCTTCCAGAATTGAATAGGAGGAAATACTTCTCAGCTTGCTTTATGAGGCTTGCATTACTTGATATCACAATTTCACAAAGATATTACTAAAAAAGAAAAGTACAATCTAATATCCCCCATGAAGCTAGATGTAGAAATTCTAAACAAAATTTTAGGAAATTGACCATAGGTAAAAAGGATAATAAGTTATGATCAAATAAGGTTTTTGCCAGAAATGCAAAGTTGGTTTAACATTTGAAGATCAATCAATGTAGTTCATCATTTTAGTAACTAAAAAGGGAAACGATAAGATTATTTCAATTGACACATAGTACTTCACAAAGTCTAACATCCATTCTTCATCTAAAATTTCTCTGCAAAGTAGGAATAAAAGAGAAGTTCCTCAATCTGATAAACAGCATCTATACACTATGCATATCCATGCAATATGTCAATGATTAAAGATGAAGCGTTTTCCCTCTTAGATTGAGGAGCAAGACAAAGGTGTCTGTTTTCACCCTGATGTAGAAATCAGTGTGGGGAGAATTCACATCTTAAAAATATGGAGTCTTCAAATGAGTGTCATTGATAAAGCTCTTTATTAATGTTAATTATTTAACATTGTACTGGCCATATAGTGTAATCAGAAAAGAAAAAGAAATAAAAAGTCATTTTATATTGAAAGAAAGTAAAACTGTCTTTATTCACATACAACATGACCATCTATGTAGAAAATCTAATGGAATATTCTAAGTTCTAATAAAAATTTCTATTAATAAAACTAATAAGTCATTTTAGCAAGGTTGTTAGGATACAACACCAATATAAAAAATCAATTCCAAGTCTTCATTCTGGCAACAAACAAATAGAAATTAAAATTTAAAAAACAATACTATTTACCATAATATTTAAAAACTATGAAATACCTAAGAATACTTCTGACAAAATGTGTCTGACTTGTACTCCGAAAACTGCAAATGTTGTCGAGAGAAAATAAAGAAGACCCAAGTAAATAGAGTACTCTCTCAATCATGTTTATTGAAGATGCAACATTGTAAGATGCAGATTCTCCCCAAGTTGATTTCTACATTCAAGGCAATCTTCAGCAAAATCCCAGCAATATTTTTGTAGATATTGACAAGCTTGATAAAATATCATACAGGAATCTAGAGTAGACAAAATAATTTTGAAGAACAAGTTGGAGGGCTAAAACTATGATTTCAATACAAGTACTTGTTAGAAAGCTACAGAAATCAAGATAGTGTGATATTGGTGTAAAGATGGGAAAATATATTAATGAAATAGAACAGAGGGTCTGAAAATATACCTACACATACATGAACAACTGATTTACCACATAAGTGCAAAGGCAATTAAATGGAGAAAAACAGTAGTCTTTTCAACAACTGGTGCTAGGTTAATTGGATATACCTACACATGAAAAAAATTAACCTTGACTTCTATCTTGCACTATACACAAACGTTAACTCAAATAGATCATAGACCTAAATGTAAAACCTAAATCTATAAACCATGTAGAAGAAAATATAGAAGAAAATCTTTGACTTAGACAAAAATTTCTTAAATTTAACATCAAATGATCCATAAAAAAACAAACTGATAAGCTGGATTTCATCAAAATTAAAACTTCTGTTCTTCAAAAGGTACCATTAAGAAAATGAGGCTGGGGCAGGGCACCGTGGCTCACGTGTGTAATGCCAACACTTTGGGAGGCTGGCAGGTGGATCTCTTGAGGTCAGGAGGTCAAGACCAGCCTGGCCAACATGGTGAAACCCTGTCTCTTCTAAAAATCCAAAAAATTAGCTGGGCATAGTGATGCATTCCTGTAATCCCAGGTATCTGAGAGGCTGAGGCAGGAGAATCGCTTTAACCCGGGAGGAAGAGGTTGCAGGGAGCCAAGATTGCGCCACTGCACTCCAGCCTGGGTGACAGTGTGAGACTCTGTCAAAAAAGAAGAAAAGAAAAGAAAGAGAAAATGAGACTGAGCATGGTGGCTTACGTCTATAATCCCAGCACTTTGGGAGGCCAAGTCAGGCAGATCACTTGAGGTTAGGAGTTTGAGACCAACCTGGCCAATATGTGAAACCCTGTTTCTACTAAAAGACAAAAATTAGCTGGGCATGGTGGTGGGCACCTGTAATGCCAGCTCCTTGGGAGGCTGAGGCACAAGAATCGCTTGAACCGGGAGGTGGATGTTGCACTGAGCCAAAATCATGCACTGTACTCCAGCCTGGGTGGCAGAACAAGACTCCAGCTCAAAAGAAAAAGAAAAGAAAAGAGAAGAAAAAAGAAAACGAGACATGCCATAGACTTGGAAAAAGAAATAATCACAATCATATATCTGGCAGACGTCTTGCATCCGGAATATATTTTAAAATTCTCAAAATAAAATAATGAGAAAACAACTCAATATAAAATGGGCAAAAAATTGAATAGACACTTCAATTAAGATATTAAGATGATAAATTCACTTATAACATTCACTAGGGAATTCATTATTCACTAGGGGATGCAAATTAAAAATACGATGTGACACCCCTAGGTCCCCATTAGATTAAAAACACTGATCAGGCAGCGTGCAGTGGTTCATGCCTATAATCCCAGCACTTTGGGAGGCCGAGGCTCGTGGATCACGAGGTGAATAGATAGAGACTATTCTGGCCAACATGGTAAAACTCTGTCTTTACTAAAAGTACAAAAATTAGCTGGGCATGGTGGTGTGCCTGTAGTCCCAGCTACTTGGGAGGCTGAGGCAGGAGAATAGGTTGACACCAGGAGGCAGAAGTTGCAGTGAGCCAAGACCACGCCACTGCACTCCAGCCTGGCGACAGAGCAAGGCTCTGTCTCAAAAAAAAAAAAAAAAAAAAAAAAAAAAAAGACTGATTATACCAAGTGTGAGAGAGGAGGTGGAGGAACCAGAACTCTAACACACTGTTGGTGGGAATGTAAAATAGCCCAATCTCTTTGGAAAACATGTTGACAGTCCTTTGTAAAAGTTAATCATAGATCTATCATACAATGCAGCTATTCTACTCCTAGGTATTAATATTTACCCCAGAGTAGTGAAAACATATATCCATATAAAGATGAAAAGTAATGGCAGCTTTATGTATAACACCCTCAAACAAGAAATAATCCAAATTTCTGTCATGAGGTGAATGCATAAACAGTGTGTGGTATATCTATACAATTGAATATTACTTGGCAATAAAAAAAAGATGAACATCATACCAGTAACAACATAGATATCTCAAAACAATTATGCTTAGTCCAAAAAGCCAGACCACAAGGAAGGGTACACTCCACTCTCTATGATTCAATTTATGTTACAATCAGAAATACAATCTAATCTACAGGGACAGAAAGCAGAAAGGAGAGGGGCCCGAAAGAGGAATTATAGAAGGCAATAGGAAAACTTTGGGGAGATTTGTGTATATTCATTATCTTGATTACAGTGGTAGTTTCAAGGGTGTCACAACTTATCAAATTACACTCTAAGTATGTGGAGTTTATCTTGTCAATTATAACTCAGTAAAGCTATTTGGGAAAAAATTATGAAAGAATCTGTGTGTCAATATGAACTTCATCATGACAGTAGGCAAAAGGGGAAGTTCCAGAAAGTTTCATATAGTTCGATCTCAGATTTTCAAAAGTGAACAAGAAAAAAATACAACCCTTATCTCTCACTACATACTCGTTTGCATATCGGTCTGGTAGCTGACACAGTGAACTTTTGAGTGATCACACCTCGGGGCTGAGTTGTAGCAAGGACAAGGAGAGGTGATGTACATACGTCTCATACTGAGCTGTTATCACTTGACATTTAGAAGGTTCCTTTCAATGACAGTCGACCCTTGAACAACACGGGTTTGAACTGTGTGGGTCCACTTACACATGGATTTCCATACTGCAGATACTATATTACACAGTACATAATACATAGAGCATACAGCATACGTGTTGATCCGCAGTTAATGTATTGACAAGGCTTCTGGCAACAGTAGGCTATTAAGTGTCAAGTTTTGCGGAAGTCAAAAGCTATTCCCCATGGACTGCGCAGGGTTTGGCACCCCAAACCCTCTTCCCATCGCTCAAGGGTCACCTGCATTTGTGCATTGATAAAGGGGTGTGCTTCACAGGGAGTAAGTCCCAGAAACCACAAGCGTTAGCTCATCCCAGTGTGGAGTCACAGGCAGGTGGCCACGGGGAATTAGCTGAAGACCAGCAGGCAGGGAGCCTCCCACGTGCCACCTAAGGGGCGCTCCCGGAACCGCCGCCCCCGCTGGAGAGGGGCTGGGGGCTCAGATCACCGTGCAAGACTCCGCCAAGTGGGCGCCAGCGCTGCGGCCTGCGGGTGGAGGCGGCCTCTGAAGAGAGGCGCGAGGCGGGGCCAGGCGGGGCGGGGCCGTGGGCGGCTGCTGTTTGCTCGGACCCGGCGTCCAGGCGCGCCTGTGTCCCCAGCCCGCGGAGCCGGCCTCGCTTGCGCCCATCCCAGCGCCTACCGTACGGTTGGACTCCGGCGCCTCGGCCCGGCCGGCGAACGACCGGCACGCGCGGAAACGCGGCTGGTCCTCTCTTTAAAGGTAGCACATCTTTCGGGGGTCGCAGCCGGCAGTGGCGACGTGGGGCGGGATGGGCGCGCTCTTCGGGCTGGGGAAGCTTGCGCTCGCGCCCTGGGCCGCGTCGGGGCGGTCTCGGGGTGCCCCGCGCCCCCTGGAGGGACCCCTTCCGCTGCCTGGGACCCGGCCGCCCGCTAAGCCGGGGTGAGCGGGGCCTGGCTCGGGCCGCCGGTGACGACGCGGAGCCCTTGGGCGGCCGCTTTCTCGCGGGGCTGGGCTCCCGCAGTGCCGGGCGCCCACCCGGCCACCCCATCAGACGCGCGTGACTCGTCTGGGGTGAGCTTAGAAAGGGCTGCGTTCGCTGTGATCGCGGATACCCGAGGTTGCTTTTTGCATGACTGCTTGCAGTTCAGTTCTCTGGAGTTTATAGTTGCCACAAAGAAACGTCAAAAAGTAGTCTTCCCGCTAGTTGAAAGCGCTAGTCTGTGCGCTTTAAGGTGTACGGTCTTTGTCTTTGGCGAGTTGTGCCTTTTAAGACGCTTCCAAGATAAGAAATTGAAGAAGAAATTATGATTATTTTCTTCCAGAAAAATCTTGCAAAAATGATTTTTGGAAACACCTGTGTTGGTTGTTAGCTCCTTTAGCATGCCCAGTCCAAGGTGGGCTCTCCCTGGCTTGGCAGACCTCCCCGTGGAGGGCCTGGCTTGCTGTCCGCTCCCTTCCCGCTTCCAGAGTCCGGAGAGGCGAGTTTGGGGTGTCGATGTGGAGAGGCAAACAAATGCCCCAGACGCCCCCCGTTTACGGATTTTCACAAACTGCCCAGTTCAGCTTTACCCCTTGTGTCTCCAAAGGTGTTTTCAATCTACATATATTTGGAAAACTTTAGTTTTCATATCATTTTAAAAAAATAAACATATTATGTTTGGTAGAAGGCAAAACTTTTAAAGTAGATATGTCTTAATACCCCAGAGAGACTTGAAAGTATAGAAAATTGCTAAACCAGTGACAAGATGCCAGAACATCGAAAAGATGGCAACCACTGCTTTAGGAAATATTTGACATAAATATTTTTCATCTTTTGTCTCCTTGATACCTGGCTGATACTTTTATTTGATTTGATAGTTTAAAAAGAATTGTAACTTTTAGACTTAAAAGGGAACCTAAAGTCAGTCCTATGAGCTACAAAGAAAGTAAATCTTTTTCATAACATCTCCAATAAATTATGTTTTGTCCTTTGCTTGGATTACATTTAGTAGAAGGAGGTGTTGCCCCATTCTTTTGTTGGAAAGCTGTGTGTTTTTAAGTGTATTTTGGAGCGGGAGGCTTCAGCCTGCCTGTCCAGGTCATGCTTCCCCTGCCGTTACACCAGTGACTAGGATTCCAGGCTCCTTAACAGGGACCATCTGCCTGGGGCAACAATCTGATTGCTCACCATGAAACTTGAGGAAGGAGATTAAATAAAGGATATTTAATAATTATTTTTGTTTACTTTTATCTTGCTGCTCCCAACAAATTTGTCCACCCTTTTCAGATAATTTTGAATCTATATTCTGTTGTCTGTGGTATTCATGTATTATTTCTCTTGTTGTGACCATGGAAAACTTGAAACTGTTAAAAGTAACTTCTGGGTATTCATTTCACCAGTCTGGAAGAATCTAGTGATGGTGCAAAAGAGGGCTGCTTCCATGGCCGTTAGTGAGTTGGCTGTGGATGTTCAGTCAGTCTTCATCTCATCTGTCTTTCATTATCTTGCCCTCAAGAATGCTGTGGGCAATCTCTTAGATACTTTTAGAGGAACTGATTCACGTGGCCACCTGATCTACCAAATTAGAAAACATATCAAAAAAGGTATTTGAGTTAAGGTGGTTAATGGAGCTCCTCAATGCTTTGTAAACCTGTTTCATACTCTGGAATTGTGCTGAAGATCTGTGTCCAGCTTGCTCTTTTCTTCCTTTTTGGAAGGATGGCTTATCACTTGATGGGGTCCTGTATTCTGGTTTTATTCCCCACCTGTCCTCACAATTCTAGATAGTGACTCGGAGGCAGCCATCATGTTCCTTCAGCAACCAGGGAAGTAATTAATCTGATTCCGAGGACTTCAGTGAACTGATCTGAGATAGGTACTGGGGCACCATCTTATTGGTTTTGCGTAGCAAGTCCCTGTGGGTACATCAGTATTATGTCAGTATTCTCGCATAAAGGAGGGCTTATTGGCACAGAAATGAGCCTTAAGTATAACTCAGCAGAAAAGTTTCTGCAGTAAGTAAAACTGTGTGTCATCTAATTTGAGGAATAACTAGTCACTTGTCTTGTCTTTCTCTTATTTTTGGTGTTTCACTGAAAGTGTGCCCTGGAGTTCCTTTCCTTCCACTTCTGGAATAAAGGAAGGATAGCCAACTGTGACATTATCTGGAGGGCAGTGGAACAGTAGGTGGCAGTGAGGAAATCAAATTGTATATCCTCAGCTCAAATACATTCCTCTAGCCTGTCCTTCCCAGTTCTGCTTTAGGAGTGGGATTCAGAGAGAAATGGAAAACTAACAGGTGGTAGACAATAGAGTTTTAAGGGAAATGTTTAGTAAATTAATAGATTGCCTTGTTTACCTCCTCTATGTAGTTGAGTTTGGTTTACAAAAGTAGTAGAATGTATTTATTTATTTTTACCTTACTACATTTATTCATGATGCCAGGACTGAGTTTTATCCTGCTGTAGACCTATATTACTATTTTCTTCAATTTTCTTAGACTTTGCTGCTAACTTTGACAAGTCACTTGCCTGAAATTTGGTAAACCTCAGAGAGAGTATCACTGACTTAATGCCAACTCTATCAATGTATATGAAAAAAAAATTTATTAAGCACTGTATGTTTAGAAGATCTCTGGTCTCTACCTGTAAAAAAAAAAAAAGAAAAAAATTTTTAAATCTGAAGCATATATTCTCTTAACAGTAGACTAGTCCAACTATATTCATATAGGAATGATAAAATAAAAATTGTGTGTCTGCCTCTTTACTATAACTGTGATGGTATTATGCACTACTAAAAACTGTAACTGGAAGATTTACACAGCCTATAAACAAATAATTATAGTCATGAACTCCCTCAATTTTTTGTAGTATCTCTCTGTAGACATTAATTAAAATGTGGATTCCAGAGTCCATTCACTCTTTGATCCATAGCCTTAGTAGAGCCTCAAGGATAATTCCTGGGAATCGTAATAAGATTTCTACTAACCACGCTAGTTTTTGTTTTGTTTTGAGACAAGGTCTCACTCTGTTGCCCAGACTGGAGTGCAGTGGCACAATCTCAGCTCACTGTAACTTCTGCCTTCTTGCCTCAGCCTCCTGAGTAGCTGGGATTACAGGCGTATACCACTACCACCCAGCTAATCTTTGTATTTTTAGTAGAGATGGGGTTTCACCACGTTGGCCAGACTGGTCTTGAACTCCTGACCTTAAATGATGCACCTGCCTCAACCTCCCAAAGTGCTGGGATTACAGGCGTGAGCCACCGTGCCTGGTGAGGATAGTTTTTTAATGAACAACAAAAAATAGTTTTAGAATTTTGTTAGTAATTTCCTAACAAAATTCTTCAATATATAGAGTGATATACAAAGAACCTAAGCATAGAAATGATTGGATGTTTATTTATATATTCTAATGAATGTGTTTTTTGTGGTATTTTACCAATACAGGAAGTGAAATCAGATGGATGTTGGTGAGTACCCCCACGGCAACAGTTGCTTCATTTCATTGGTTCAGAGTGAACTATAATCTGGAAGCCTCCCTTAGGTAAGAAAGGCTTGACAAAGAAATGATTGACTTTTTAAGTGGTCATGTATCTTTAGGCTAGAATGTTTAGATTATTGTTTTCAAGCTAGTAAAGATCAATTTGTCTAAAATATATTTTACAATGTACATAGCTATAAAATTATTTTATATGAAGCTTTTGATTTGTGGGTGAGTATAATCTTTATGCTCTGAAGATTAATGTACACAACCTAAAAGAAAATTAAAATATTATTTTTAACAAGTTATTGGTATTAATATAATACCCTTAATTACTTATTTTGATTTTACTGTCAGTGAATTGGCAATTTAATGATATTATTAAATAGTTTTAACAATCCATGCCACATACAGTGAGATGTGGCATGCACAATATATATAGCACAATCCCTCTGTTTAGAACTGCAAGGCAGTTTTGTAACCTGGCATTCGAGTGACGTCTTTGTTTTAGGTTAGCATCGTTGGTTTTCAAGTAAAGGATTCTATTAAGGGTAACTTCTTTGTAAAACTTTAGTGAAAATTTACTATCCATCTTGTAGATTTCCAAATGAAATTGTTACAAGCAAAATGTCAATGACTGTGGTCCACATTAGAATTTAGAATCCAGCATCTGTTTTTGCACCTTACAGTTTTAGGCAGTTAGCATTAAAGAGTAGTAGACGAATCCTTTTAAAATAGCATATGCTTTGAATTTTTGGTAGCCAGCAGTTTCACAGAGTCTACATAGTATTGCTGGATGGGACCTAAGTCATGCATGTAACTGGTTTACTCAGACTAAAATGTGTGTAGTAGCTCTTTCGTCTGATGCTTGAGATGCAGCTTTGTAACTATTTTTGCTTTTCATTTCAGTTTTCCAAGCCCTAATGATGACATTTCATTTTGTTCAGTGACTTTATAGGTCATTCCTGCTTCTGGGATCCAGCTGTATGTTGTGGTTAAGAAATTGTGTCACGTCAGACAGAGTGAATCACAAGACAGAGATATTTACATATTATATACATATTTCATTAGATTTCAAGGCATGTTTTAGTTATGACACTGAATCTTCCATGTGTACATTCCTAACATTTCAGGGGTGAAAGGAGGGTTATATAGTTAAACAAATGTCAATAAAGTTCAGAATCATTCTTACCATTATTTTGCCTTTCAACTAACTGCATACATAAAATACTTTGTATTCTTATATGAAATATATGTACAAGTTGACCATATTTACCTGGACATATCTGGACTTCAAATTTGCTAGAACTTAGTTGTGTCCCATGCTGGCTAATACCTGGAGATTCATCATTTCTGTTTGGAGGGTAAGAATACTCATTCCCTGGCTGCTTTACTGGAGAGGATCAGGCGTGCTGCTTGAACTTAGACTTAGTCCCTGCCATATCCAACTTCTCTGAGCTCCTGTGTCCTGGCTGTCATCTGAAAATTGTTGCAGATCATTTGAATTTTTGTTAGTATTATGCTTTGACTTAAGAAATGAAAACAGTGCAGAAAACTTCACTGGACAATTTAATATAGGAACACAGACTGCAACTAAACCATTTGCTTGGACTTTAATCCTCACAGTGACCGTATAGATACTTTTCTTGCTGCAGGCGAGGAAACTGAGGCTTAGAGTAATTTGTTCTGACAAGATCATATGGTTAGTAAGTAGCAGAGTAGGGACTTATCTAGACCCATGCTTTTAGTTATGTTTTACTGTCTCCAAGACTATTTCAATGTGATACTTCCTCTTTTGAAAGAGATAAGATACAATAATTGACCAGGAAAAAAAGACTTGGGACTTACAGTGCTTCCTTGGACATTTCCTTCTGGAAGCCTCGCAAGCTACCTCTTCCACACACAAACTCAATCCCATGCGTCCTCTTTTCCTGCCACTGAAACTTGTCCCAACTTTCTTCATAGCATTTATCACTGTATTTCACCATTTGACTATAGCTCTTTGAGAACAGGTTTGTAATTCTTTATCTCTATATCCCCAGCACGAGGTAGCATCTATCAATGAATGAAAGTGGAAGATACCAACTAAAATTGTATTAACTAGATATTTTTTCATTTTTTAATGTTATCCTGTACTGTTAGAGTGCCAGTATTTGGTGGAAATGTGAAAAAACTGTCTATTTTCTAATATTTCTAAAACTGAACATTTTCTAATATTTACAGAATGAAGAGGAACAGTTTATCTGTTGAGAATAAAATTGTCCAGTCATCATCAGCAGCGAAACAGCCAAAACTTGGGTTCTACTCTTCTCTCAACCAGAGTCATATGCACACGGTTCTTCTAGATTGGGGGCATTTGCCTCACCACGTAGTATTACGAATTTTTCAGTGTCTGCCTTTACTAGATCGGGCCCGTGCATCATCTGTATGTAGGAGATGGAATGAAGTTTTTCATATTCCTGACCTTTGGAGAGAGTTTGAATTTGAACTGAACCAGTCAGCTACTTCATATTTTAAGTCCACTCATCCTGATCTCATTCAGCAGATCATTAAAAAGCATTCTGCTCATCTTCAGTATGTCAGCTTTAAGGTAAGAAGAATAAGCATTAAATGGAAACCGTGACTGATATTTTGTTAACAATGCTTTTGTATATCTAGAGCCTTATTTTGAGGCAGTCAGTGAATTTTGCAAAGCATTTTATCCGAAGTGGTTTCCTGTTTTTCTGCAGTTATTTCCATCGATAGAAGTGTAGAACTTAAGCTGTAATTGAAAAACTTAAAATGCAGTTTCCATCATTTGTATGCTGTTATTAAAATTCAGGTAATTGCCAAAGATTTGAAAAAATGAAGTGCGTGGAAGGCTATTTTGTTATCATCTCTGTTTTTCATTTTATAGTCTTGAAACATTTTGTACAAAGAAAAAATATTTATATGATAGTTCAGAGGGATGAATAAAATTTTGCAATTGAATTCTAATAAATAATTACATTGCCAGTAACTTTCTGATAAAATTATCTTCAGGAAATTGAGATTAAAAATTGTCTGTCTAGGTTGACAGCAGCACTGAGTCAGCAGAAGCTGCCTGTGATATACTCTCTCAACTGGTAAATTGTTCCATCCAGACCTTGGGCTTGATTTCAACAGCCAAGCCAAGTTTCATGAATGTGTCAGAGGTAAGGATGTTATGCTTTTTTTGTGAGCTATAATAAAATCCCTCAATCTGCCAAACTAGGCAGAAGCCATTTTTTTTTCCTAAAGACAGACAATCTCTTATTTGTATTCAAAGTATTATTTAAAGCCGTTTTCTATTGACCAGAACTTATTTTTGCAAAAATAGTTTATGCATGTTTTCACTCTTTAGATATCTTTTGTAACTGTATTCATTGTTCCCACAGTGTCATTAATATAAAATTTGGATATCGTGCTTATTCTAGTTAAAAGCCAATTTATGTAGTTACTTTGAACACAGAGCATGTAGAGGGAATAGTGGATGCTTTTCCTGTGATTCTGTGGCCTCTTTGTTGGAGGTGGAGCAGTATAATATTTAACTAAATGAGCTACATTTGTTAGAATGATGTTTAGATTCATGCAGTAGAAACTCCAGAACAAAAGTGGCTTCAAAACATGATTAAAGTGTATTTCTCTCACATTAAGGAAATTGATAGGTGAGCAGTCTATCATAGCAGATATGAAGGTGGTGGGAACCTAGGTTCCTTCCAGCCACTCCACTCTCTCCAAGGTGTTTCTTCAAGATGGCCTTCTTAGCTCCAACCATCACCTCCTTGCTCTGGGTGCTGGGATGTTAGAAAAGGGGGAAGAAAGGTGTACCTTCTCTTTATCAAGGAGACCACCCATAAGTACTACCCAGTGTTTCTATTTACCTCTCAGTCTGGCCACACCAGATTCCAGGGAGTCTGGGGAATTTTGAGCTGGATGGCAGCATGCCCAGCTAAAAATTGGGACTAGATTAACAAAGAAAGGAAGAATGGTTGCCAGGAAGCAACCAGCAGGCTCTGCCATGGAAACTAACAATTGTATTCTCTTCATTCAGGCTTCAACCTGAATGCCATCTCCTCGGAGAGGCCCTTCCTTAACCATTGTGAAAATGGCCCTCCTCCAGTTACCTTACAGTTAACATTATTTTTATCTTCTTTATGTTATTAATCAGTACTTGAAACCACCTTATTTATTTAATGTGTTTATTTCCTTCTCCTCACACCAAACACAAACTCGTTGAAGGCAGAGATTCTATTTTGTTTACCGTTATAAACCCAGAGTCAGAATAGTGCCTGATATAAGATGGACATTAAATTATGGTAGTTGGTTAAGGTGGCTAATGGAAACTTTCCTATGGAAGAGGTTAGAGGAGTAGCAGCATCTCTTTTATAAACTGGGTCATGGCTCTCTTCTAGCCAGTATTTCTGCTGGTCTGTTTATCTTCTAAAGGGATGTGCTGAAAAAAAAAATGGGTCATTTAGGGATTAGAATAATGTAAGTAATCCGATGAAATTTATACTTCTAGATAGTTATTTCCTTGTTTATGAACTACAGAATCAGCTTACCCTGAAATTCTTCTTATATTCTAAAAGCTGTTTCTAATGTTGCATATCAGCTTCCAGGGCCAGCTTCTAGGTTAGCTGATGCAGTCATCAGAGCTAGACACCAGGAATTAATTAGCAAACTTCATTTCAAGCTCTGCCTCTGCTTTTTAAAGTAAGCTCGGTGGCTTCTGGCAAGCTCATGGATCTTTCTGAGACTCAGTTTTTTCATCTGTAAACTAAGGAAAAATAAAAGTATAACATTTTGCTAAGCATAAATAATACTAAACTAATATATTGTTATTATAATGAAATATGTACTCTAATTTTTTTAAAGTCATCCTTCAGGACTAAAGCATTTGACAGTTGATTAAAGGAAAACTAAACCTTGTATTTATATTCCCCTAATAATTTTGGTACCATAAAATTTACTGAAGAGGTCTAGCCTTCTACCGTTTGAAAATTTGTGTAAACCAGTTTACAATTAGTATAAATCAATAAGTTTTCTTATAAACTAATGAACATTTATAACCAATTTGGTCATTCTGTTAGGCGTAATAGAACCTTTGGTAGAATCCAAATTGATTGATTCTGAAAAGGGTAGAGTGGTCATTTATAGATTTGGTTTCCAGACTTTCTATCTTTGCCAAAAAATACCGAATCAATGTTTCTGAAATTCTACTCATTTTAAGGTCAAACTAGAAGTAAGCTTTAGTCTCTCAGTCTTCAAAGCATATACAGACTTGGATTTACTTTGTGTAATTTGCAAGGAAAAGCATGTTGCTGAATATTGCGAAATCTTATAAAATGAATTAAAACTTCATTTATTCATTCAACAAATTTTTATCATCCACCTGCCATGCTATGTGCCAGATACTATTTTAGGTGCTAGACATGTGGGAGTGAATAAGTCAGATAAAGATTCTGTTTGTTCTAGAGCAGGGGTCAAAAAGTTTCAGATAGCAACTATTTCAGGCTTTGGAGGCCATGTAGTTACGCCGTGACTACTCAGCTCTGCCATTGCAGTCTGAAAGCAGATGCAGACAACATACAAATAAAGGGCATGGTCGTGTTCCCATCAGACTGTATTTATGAACACTGAAATTCAAGTTTCATGTAATTTCATGTCATAAAATATTATTCTTTAAAATTTTTTTCCAACCATTTAAAAATACAAAAACCGTTCTTAGTGAGCCAAGACGAAACAGACCATGAGCTAGATTTAGCAAGTGGTCTATAATCTGTCAACCCCTGTTCTTAGGAAATAAATATACAATAATTATGTCCTCTTAATATTGAAAACCAAATCCTTAACATTGAAACAATTGGAAGACATGTTTTATGAAATCTTTGAAGCTTTTTTTTTCACTATTTGTCAATTATAGAAAGTATAAAACTGTACTTCGTTATAAAAATATCTTCTGCAAAATGATTCTGTGGAAGGAGCCATATGTTCAGATTCTTACTGTGTTATCATTAGCATGTATTGATATGGTTTTAACGAATTATTTAAAGCTGCATGTTTTAAAATAATGTTTTCATAATTTTTTTCTTATTGCCATACAAGTCTCATTTTGTGTCAGCACTTACAGTAGTTTTTATCAACTCAAAATCTTTATCATCAATCAAAATTGAAGACACACCAGTGGATGATCCTTCATTGAAGATTCTTGTGGCCAATAATAGTGACACTCTAAGACTCCTAAAAATGAGTAGCTGTCCTCATGTTTCATCTGATGGTAGGTTATATTTTTTAAAGCTAGAGTGATATAATTTTTTTTATTACAGTAACTGTAAAGATGCAATTTCTTATTGAAAATTATATGCTTATGAAGTCTAAATTATTAAGGTAAGTTTTTTCAAAAGATTTCTTAATCTGCAAGGTAGGTATAGTTAGATATAGTAACTTTCTCCTGAGCTATTTTACATTTACACATATATATGCTTTTCGTTATATACATTATATCTCTTGGCAGCCATGTTCTCAGAAATTGTTAGATATCTATTTCACAAAGAATGAGTAACTAATGTCAAATTTAAATGTACAAAATATTGTATTAGGATCAGTATGTTCTTTGTTCCTAAGAATTTTCCCCAACTTCCCACAGGAATTCTTTGTGTAGCTGATCATTGTCAAGGCCTTAGAGAACTGGCATTGAATTATTACATCCTAACTGATGAACTTCTCCTTGCACTCTCAAGCGAGACTCACGTTAACCTTGAACATCTTCGAATTGATGTTGTGAGTGAAAATCCTGGACAGATTGCATTTCATGCTATTAAAAAACACAGTTGGGATGCACTTATTAAGCATTCCCCTAGAGTTAATGTTGTTATGTACTTCTTTCTATATGAAGAGGAATTTGAGATGTTCTTCAAAGAAGAAATCCCTGTTACTCACCTTTATTTTGGTCGTTCAGTCAGCAAAGCGGTTCTAGGACGGATAGGTCTCAACTGTCCTCGACTGTTTGAGTTAGTGGTGTGTGCTAATGGTCTTCAGCCTCTTGATAAGGAACTTATTTGTATTGGTGAACACTGTACAAACTTAACAGCCTTGGGCCTCAGTGAATGTGAAGTTAGCTGCAGTGCCTTCATCAAGTTTGTAAGACTGTGTGGGAGAAGGCTAACACATCTCTCTATAATGGAGGAAGTTTTGGTCCCTGATGAGGATTATAGCCTAGATGAAATTCACACTGAAGTCTCCAAATATCTGGGAAGAGTGTGGCTCCCTGACATGATGCCTCTATGGTAATTGGCTACCAAAGATTCTGAAGTTGTTGTTGGTGTTGTTTTTTAAATCAGTATAATTAGCTGCTTTCTATCTAAGCAAATATAAATTTTAAGATGTGTTGCTGCAATGTTTTAAGTCAAATATTTTATTGTTTGCAAACTGTCTTAATGAATTGCTGCAGAAACGTTTGAAAAAAATAAGAAATTTGAAAAGCAAGAAATTGCTGTAAATAGGGCACAGGCACTGTATGTGGATAAGCTGGTTGAGATGCTAAAAGCTACAGACAATTTCTAAGTAAGATTTCTCAGCTTTTCTTGAAGGCATGTTTTGGCTTGTTAAGTAAATGTGTAATACTGAACTTGGATTCCTTAAGTTATAACATTTACTTTATTACATTGTTTTATTTGATTCTGTTTTGTCTTGGTATTAATATACTTTATAAAATACATAGTATTAAAAACTAAATGTAAAAATCAAGATTATAGACACAGAAGCTTAATTATAACATTTCTAGCACTGTATGAGATCATCTTGTGATTCAATAAATAACTTATAATTTCCATGGTACTTTAGATTCTACTTTATTATATTGAGAGATAATAGACATTCCATTAAAACTCAAACTCATGATAGTGAATAAGTCTCATGAAATCTGATGGTTTTAAAAAAGCGAGTTTCCCTGTACAAGCTCTCTCTTCTCTTGTCGGCTGCCATGTGAGATGTGTCTTTCATCTTCTGCCATGATTGTGAGGCCTCCCCAGCAACGTAGAACTGTGAGTCCATTAAACCTCTTTTGTAAATTGCCCAGTCTCAGGTATGTCTTTATCAGCAGCATGAAAATGGACTAATACTACTTGTTATCATTTGGCTTTTTTCTTGATAATAACCATTCTAACAAGTGATATCTCATTGTGATTTTGATCTGCATTTTCCTGATGATTAGTGATATTGAGCACCCTTTCAGATACCCATTGGCTGTTTGTATGTCTTCTCTGGAAAAATGTCTATTTTTATAGACAGCAGGCACTACGTTTACCATCAGAAATCTTCATTTTGTATCTTTCTTTAAAATTTTTATTTTTTATTAAAATTGCATGTATTTAAGGTATGTGATGTGATGTTTTGATATACATATACACAGTAAACCAAATATTATAGTCAAGCTACTTAATGTATTCCTGTCCTCACAATTACCTTTTTTTGTGGTAAGAACACTTATAATCTACCCTCTTAGCAAATGTCAAGAAAGGTTGTTAAGATTTATGCCTATGTTTTCTTATAGGAGTTTTATAATTTAATCTCTTGTGTTTAGGCCTTTTATCCATTTTGAGTTAATTTTTGTATATAATGTAAAGTAGGGGTCCAAATTCACGTATAAACATAGATACCCAGTTTCCCTACCACAACTTGTTTAAAAAGATTTGTTAAAAAAGGGTGCCAAGATAATTTAATGAGAGAAAGAGTCTTATCCAGCAGAGAGAAGTGAGTACTTAAAAATAGGCCAAAAAATAACCCCTTAAAATGTGAAAATTCAATTTCCACAACACATGGATTCTTAAAAAAGGCAACTTAAAAATCCCCACCAAGAAGAAGATGAATGAAAATGAAAGAAGAATCTGAACAATATTTACTTGGGGTATGTCAAAGAGCCAAAGGGGAAAAAAATTTGAAAAGAACAAGAAATAGGGACAATCCAAGAAGCCAAAATTACATATGTAAGAGAAAAAAATTATTAAAACAAATATCTTGGAAATGACAAATATGGTCAATATAATTAAAATTAAAAAGAAATTTCAATTGATAAAAATTATATTAGACTAATGAAAGTGAGAATGCATAAATATGCTAATTGATTAATAAGAAATTAATAAGGTAGAGACAGTAAGATATAAAAAACAGGAGAACACTTGTGAAACTTGGAGGATAAACTAATAGACTTAACAGGATTTTAGCTAATAAATGTTGACAAATGGCCAAGCAGAGAAAGACGGTAGAAAAGTAACACTCAAAGTGCTAATGACACAGAGTTTACTAGAAATGAAGAAAGAAATGTCACTAGTTGGGAAGTTAGCCGTAAGTGTTGATAATAATAAAATTAAGTCAGCTACCAAAGTAAAACTAAAGAGCATCATGAAAAAGGGAAAACCTTAAGATGCTGCCAGAAGTAGTACACACTATCTACAGAGGGAAGACAATGGTATCTAATCAGACTTCTCATCAACAAGGAGAGTAAAATCTTCAGACTACTAAGGAAATGTATAATTCTATAACTGAGTGAATTATTAAAGATGGAGGGAAATGATTGTTTTAGAAATGTAAAGGCAGTAACGGTGTATCTATATATTCTCACTAATAAAAAGAACATAAAGTAATGGAACAGTTTCAAACTTAGAATAGTGGCTTCAAATACCTGAAATTCAAATTAATGAATTTTACATTTTACATTGTAACTCTTGTTTCAGTTTTATCAAACAATATGCTAATTTTGTAGGATGCATTCTGATGTTTTAACTAAACATACCATAGAGATTTTTTTTTAAAAAGCAAACATTGCTTAATATAAGTTCAAATGGTGTTCCTGCATTCAGTGACCAATTAAAAAATGTAATTAGGCTGAGAGCAGTGGCTCATGCCTATAATCCCAGCACTCTGGGAAGCCGAGGTGGGCGGATCACTTGAGGCCAGGAGTTCAAGACCAGCCTGGCCAAAATGGCAAAACCCTGTCTTTACTGAAAATACACAAATTAGCCAGACATGTCGGTGCATCCCTGTAATCCCAGCTACTCAGGAGGCTGAGACATGAGAATTGGTTAAACCTGGGAGCCAGAGGTTGCAGTGAGCCAAGATTGCACCACCACACTCCAGCCTGGGTGACAAAGCAAGACTCTGTCCAAAATAAATAAATAAATGTGATTTTTAAAAAGCTACCCTTAAAATGGTAATAAAAACAAAGTATGCACAAAACATTAACCCAGAAAATTACAAATGTTTGTGAAGGACACAAAAGAATCTTAAAGGGGGAAAATGTTACTTTCATGATGCAACAAGTCCATTTCCATAGCTATGGAAATTTGTCCCAAATCACCTGTAAATATAATGCAATTGAAAATGCCAAAATGTCTCAGTGTGGTGGCACACACCTGTAGTCCTAGCTACTTGGAAGGCTGAGGTGGGAGGAGCTTTTGAGTCAGAGTTTTGAGGCTGTAGTGAGCTATGCAGCCCTGCACTCTAGCCTGAGTGACAGAGAGACCCTATTTCTAAAAACAAAAAATAGCCAAAATGATTTTTTTAATGAAACTTCACGTGTTGATAGTAGAATTTACATAGAAAAGCAAAATGTCAATAATGGCCAAGGCAATTTTGAAGAAATATAAATTTGCAGTCTCCCCTTGACAAATGATTTTATTATTAAAAAGCTAAAGTAATTAACACAATATGCTATTACCAATAAAAAACAGTTAAATGGGGGTCAGGCCCGGACCTGCGCCACCTCAAGTTGTAAAGTGTAACAAGGGGGTCAGGGTGGGCAGCGTGGGCCTGTGAAGCCTGTGGGTGTCCGCATCCCCCAGCTCCCCCTGCAGCCAGCTCCACAGTGGTCTGCTCCAGTGGCAGCCTATGGATTCACGTTCCAGACTGAAGGCTACCTGTTCTCCAGTGCCCTCCACCACCCCACCCCTGCCTCCCCGCCCCCTGTCCACAGCTCCCCCCACCGCAGCCGGCTCCGCACTTGTCTGCTCCGGTTCCAGACTGAAGGCTGCTTATTCCAGGTGCTTATTGTGACCCCAACAGACTGGGGTTACTGCGGCAACCACAAGAACAGCCTTGGCGCTATGTAGGAGCCTGGAGCTACTCCTCAGCCCTACCTGGGGCTGCTCATGGAGAAGCTACACAGGATTGTGGCAGCACTGCTGGAATGTATGGTATCCAGTTCTAATGGTTTTCCATGGGAATTAGTGATATGGGCAGGTGTTATTGGGTTTTGTGCTATTCCCCTTTTTTTGAGGAGAAGTTTTAGATCAGTTAGGAGTCGGCTATATGTGGGAAGAGAGAAAAAGCTTGCTGTAGAGCTTTGTGAATGAATTAAGGAAAAATGTAAACTACTTGAGAAATTTAGTTTTGTGCGAAGAAGCTATGAAGGCTGTGAAAGAGTCACCTTTAAAGGATGTCAGCATTGACAAGGGGGCAGCAGAAGCACAAAGTTTGGAGGCAGCCTGTGAAAAGCTGAGCAGGTCAATTTCTGAAATGGAGGATGAAATACTGTATCTAAAAAAAGAGTTAAGAGAAATACGAACATTCTAGACAACATCAGTTGATGGTGGATATTTCAGAAATGAGACAGTCTCTAGAAGATCTGTCAAAATCCCTCAAATCACAAATAGCTGAAGCCAAAATGCCCTTCAAGATGTTTCAAATGAATGCAGAACAACTGAAGATGGCGATAAAAGATGCTTTGAATGAAAATTCTCAACTTCAGGAAAGCCAGAAACATCTTTTGCAAGAAGCTGAAGTATGGAAAGAACAAGTGAGTGAACGGACTAAACAGAAAATAATATTTGAAGACTCCAAAGTTAACACAGAACAAGTTCTAAATGACAAAGACGATCACATCAAGACTCTGACTAAACACTTGCTGAAGATGAAAGATTGGGCTGCTATGCTTGGAGAAGACAATATGGATGATCATAACTTCAAAGTAGAAATGAACAGTGAATCAGAAAATGGCGCTGACTTAGCTGAGCCCTCAAAAGGAGCTTTGAAGAAACTGATTCATGCTGCGAAGTTAAATGCTTCTTTAAAAATTTTAGAAGAAGAAAGAAACCAAATTGATATTCAGTTGTCCGAAATTTATAAAATGAAAAAGGAGCTTATGGGGCATATTAAACATCTTCAGTCTGCACAAGCATCTTTGCAGTCAGAAAACACACATTTTGAACGTGAGAATCAGAAGCTTCAACAGAAACTTGAAGTAATGACTGAACTACATCAATAAACTACAATGAGACTTTATAAAACATTAACTGTAGAGGAAAATTACCAGGTAGAGAGACAAGAAAAACTTCCTAAACAAGACAAAAAGATCAACTATACCAGTGACCAGCTGGAGAAGTATGGAAAGCAAGCCAAACATCTTGAACAAGAGTTAGAAAGAAGGATTCTTTCTTACCAAGAGCAGATTTTACTCCACAGAAAAAAACACATGACAATTGGTTGGCAGCTCAGATGCTGAAATCAATCTCAATGGCTTAAGGAAGGAAAATGCTAAGTACAGACAAAAATTAACTGACACAGAGATTAAATTCAAATTTTTACACAAAGATCCTTCTGCAGCTGATGTTCCAAACACAGGATTTGGCAGAGAGCATTACACATACGTTACCGATATGAGAAGAGGAATTCCTTTCCCCCCACCTCCTCCAGGAACCCTGTTTGGAGTTTCTCCACATAATATTCCACCAAGCAATTTCCCAGGTCCGCCACATGCTCCATTTGCAGTGAGGAATGCCTATCCACCCAGAGGTTTTCCTCCTTATCTCCCACCAAGACCTGGATTTTTTTCCCG